GACCAACCCCGCAGGTCGGACATTTTTTTTATTTTTTTATAATAATAATTTTTGTTATTTTTATAATTTATAATTAATAATAATAATTATTATTATTATAAATTAATAATAATTATAATAATAATAATAATTGTTATAATAATAATTATAATTATAATTATAAATTAAAATTATAATTATAATAATTAAAATAATAATTTCTCATAATAATTAAAATTAATTATACTAATTATAATAATAATTATAAATTAGAATTAATTATAATAATTATAATAATAATTTCCAATACAATTATAATTAATTGTAATAATTATAATAATAATAAGTTGAATAAATCCACTAAACAAACGTGAGCCGGAATCCAGTGGTTTTGCTCACGCTCCCATTATGTTTTTCTCAGGTGACGGAGTCCAGTCGGAGCGGGAGCGAAGCGGTGGTGTGGTGGTGTCCGAAAACAGCTGGACATTCAATTATGTTTATGTGTATGTTGGCATGTAATAATATAATTTTCAGACTGTACTGTATTTTATTTACGCTTCCGTACTGTATTATGTTTATGTTTATGTTGGATGTTATTAAGTAAGTAACATCCCGTGAGTTAGTTAAGTATAAGTATTTTTCGAAAACAGTATCGGCATCTTTCGAATACAAACGCGAAAATTTTACTCAGTTTTTTGTAAGTAAAAGTTAGAAAAGGCGGGGTGTTACACCTACGCTTCGAGACAGGCTCGTTTTCCTGAGAGTCTGGCGAGTCGACTCAGGAGAACGAGCTTGTCCCGAATCGTGGGAACATACGTTCGTGAGTAAAAAAATGATTAATGTGTTAAATCAAGTTATACAAATGATTAAATAGTTAAAATATTAAATTAATTATATTTTAAGAAATACAGTTATATAAATGTGGGTAAAAAAATATTATACTAATTAGCTTGTTTATGAATATGTTTAAAATTTTAATTTTGAATTTCAAATAGAGTAGAAGATGGAATAATTAAAATTGTTTTCAAAAAGTTTTTAAAGTGTTTAATATTCTGGTAAGTATACCCGTAAGAGTAATTTTACTATTTTAATTTCAAAAATTTTGGCAAGTTTATTAATTAGATAAATTTGGTTAGACAAAAATTTAATTAGTTAAAATATTATAATTATAATATTTTAAAAATTCTAGTTAAATAATTGTAATTGTATTACTTAGTTTGTTGGGAATGTGATTATATGGAAGTTAAGATAAAATAAAATGTGCCCAAAAAATCTACTTGTGGTCTTTTCCTTTAAATGTTAGAATTTAAAAATCTAATAACTAAATTTAGATTAATCACGTAAATAAACATTTATTGAAGAGATAAACAAATAATATTTATATTATTTATATCATAAAAAATTTAGTCATATCATTTTAATGTAAAAAAAAGTGGCAAGTTTGTTAGAGAGATAATTCCGGTAGATAAATGATTAATTTGTTAAGATATTATATTAGTTATATCATTAAAAATTTAGTTAGATAATATAGATAAAAAAAATATGATATTAATTAGTTTGTTAGAAATGTGATTATATTAGAATCAAGATAAAATAAAATTTACCCAAAAAATCTGCTTGTGATTTTTTCCTTTAAATGTTTGAATTTAAAAATCTAATAACCAAATTTAGATTATAAAATTAATTATATTTTATTTCTATTTTTTTTCCTCCTCCATTATATTTGCTTCCGCTGCTACTTTTCCGGGATTATGCGATTCAACTCATCACAATCACATCTTTATTTAGTTTTATCAGCTCATTAAAATTAAAATAAAAAAATTATAATGAAAAATTATAAATTATAAATTATAATAATACTTATAATTTAATTATAATGAAAAATTATAAAATTACATCTATTAAAGTATATTAATTAATTTATTGGATAAAAAATATTTTTAACTATCAATATAATAATAATTACTAAATATTATTAAATTAATTAATCACTATTTAAATGGTTAAAAAATTTCACTTATTAATAATAATTAATTTCACTTAAAAAAGTTAAATAAAAGATATATTAAAATATATATATATTAATAATTATTTGTATTAAAAAAATTAATTAATCGCTATTTAAATAGTTAAAAATTAGTTGTATTCAACAAATATTTTGAATATATAACATAATAATTTATAATAATATTATTTAAAAAAAAAATATGGTGTCCGGTCGACAGGTCATGACCGGCCGTCGGGGCCGGACACCATTT